ATACTTTACTGTACATATAACAAGTAAATAAGGTAAGGTAAATTGTACGTAGGTGAGCTTAACTCTACAAGAGTTCTCTTCCAGCAACACCCAACCGGGTAGAGCGGTGTGGTACACACACACGCACACACGCACACACGCATACGCACACGCACACGCACATACACACGCGCTCGCTCACACACATATATATGTGTGTGTGTGTGTGTGTGTGTGTGTGTGTATAATGTAATGTAAATTGGACTCTATATTACGCGCTAAGATTCTCATTTTCCTTCAGAGACCTTCACAGGCCTCACGGAGTGACCTCACTGTTTTCAGGCTTTTTAAGCGTTGAGGGGCCACAGCTTCACATTCCAGGATTATGTGAACAGCCGTTTCTTTGACGTCAAAACAGCTTCGACATAGAGAGCTGTCTGTGGCTCCTATTGTGTATAAATGTTTCTTTAACGGGCAATGACCCGTTATTGTCCCTATCTTAAGATTTTTCCCGTCTAGATATAATAAACGTTTTTGATAGTCGTATATGTACGTATACATATATACTTATGTATATTAGACACAAATATATATTTATACATACATACACATATAAATATTCCGACAAATACAAATAATAAATATATTTTCATAGAGATAGCAAATAAGTTTTCTTGCTTATTTAACCAAAGTTAAATACAGTTTTTTTAAAGGATGGAAATCGAATGATTTAGACACGGGCAACAAGGCAATATGCCGTGCAATTGCGCCAGCTTCCTTTACTACGCTGGATGTGTAAACTTTATAAATTGTATGGAGCATAGGTAATGAATACGAGTGAGAGGCATCTATGACATTTTACTTTTAAATTTTCGTCTTGGAAGGAGAGTATTTTTTTTTTAATGGGTGATAATGGAATGGCAACCCCAGCCGCGCTATCGGTATACACCGGCGGGGACCAGTGAAGGATGATAGGTGAGGATGAAGCAGGTCAGTTAGTCCATCATGACGAATTCAACAAGAATTATTTGCTATTGTTTCTAGGGGGAACCACGTGGAGGTCGACTAAATAGGGCATATTGCTAGCAATGGGGCTGTCAAACTCCATTACTAACAATCCCTTTCCCCTCGGAAGGAGAGTATTTACTATACAGGTATATATATATATATATATATATATATATATATATATATATATATATATATATATATATATATATATATATATATATATATATATATATATATATATATAATATAGTACAAAAATGTTCTTTTTCATTTATGTGTTTACCGAATCGATTCTATTGATAATACATTTAAGTAGCATTTGGTTTACAAAAAAAAAAAAACCATTGACTTGGATAGTAATTTTGAAAAAAAATCCATGGGATTAATCTGAAAGCACGTCGTAAATAACGGAGTTTTGAGGTAACAAAATAAAAAAGAAAACCTAATTAAAAAACATACAATCGAATTGAGAACTTCCTGCTTTTTTTAAAGTCGGTCAAAAATACAACCGGACACTTTTGCGGTCGAAACAAGTAGGCCATTACTGCGTTTTAAAATGTACACACGGGGAAGTAATAAATAAATTGAACCCGGCGCCGGCCACCAGCGACGGTGGCGCCCCCTCCATTTCGTATTCAATACAATGCAAATATCCTCGCCGCTGCCGGACAGTGATACGGGGTATTAACATACATTTGAGAATGTTTGTAAACGTTAATCCGACTTGTGAGTAGTGGACAGCGACCAAAATTTATTAAACACTAGCCATCCGACCCTGCTTTGCACGAGTAGACAGGATTTTCGAAAATCAATATACATATATAATAAAATCGTAACTGGTCGCTGTCTGTACATGGAAGGTATGTAAGAAAAACTATTATAAGAGGGCTTTATGAACGTAACAGAATTTAAAACAATGATTTTTAAAAAAATTATGTGTACGTTTGTGCACGCTAATCCCAGAAATGGCTTAACCGATTTATATGCGGTTTTCACTAATGCGTTTCGGTTTGCTATACTTAATATTTAGCGTTTGTTTTGTTTCAATAAGTTCATAAATAAAAAAGTTATACCTATCTAAAGAATGGTATAAAATAACCGATCGGTTGAATGGGCTCAAATTTTATGAAGGTAGGTATCAGTAGGTATTTATCATATTTTAATTCACAGGATATTTTATTTATCGATTCACGCGGGCAATGCCGCAGGAAACAGCTAATCAATACATATAATAAAAAAAAAACAGCCAATTTAACTGATCGCTTATTATATAGCACTTTACATGTGATCCTTTAGATTGATATAACTTTTTTATTTGTGAACCGATTGGAATAAAACAAACACTAAATGTTAAGTGTAACAAACTGCAAGGTATTAGTGAAAACCGCATTTAAATCGGTTAAGCCGTACCTGAGATTAGCGTGCACAAACGTACAGAGAAACAGGTAAAAATTCTAAAAATCATTGTTTTGCCTTCTATTGCATTCATAAAGCCCCCCCTATAATAGTTTTTCTTATATATATTTCATGTACAGCGACCAGTTACGATTTTATTATATGTATTGATAAATCTAACACAATTCCTAGACAAACTAAGCCAAACTACGGTTGCCGACATGCCTGCCAAGCATGGCCACTACTGGCAAATCCCTCCTCATGGCGGGAAAAAAGATTGTTAGTAATGGGGTCTACGGTGACCTATTGCTAGCAATACACTTTATCACGTCGACCTCCACGCAATTCCCCTTGGAAACCATCGTGGTTAATTCTAGTGGAATTCGTTACGATGGACTTACTGACCTGCTTTCATCGTCACCTATCATCCCTCACTGGTGCCCCGCCAGTGTATACCGATAGCGCGGGTGAAGTAACCATTTCATTATCACCCATTAAAAATACCCTTATGGGGGAGGCTATGTTCAGCAAACATAAAAAATAAACCCAAATTGAAAACCTCCTTTTATTTAAGTCGGTTGAAAATGATTGATAATTTAAATAATCACCAATATAAGTTTATTGCACCAAAGACATAAAAATAAACAATGACATATAAACAATACAACTGAAATACAGTAGCATGGAGTACAGATCAAAATATACACATAAAGGTACAAAAGGCGGTCTTATCGCTAGGGCAATCTCTTACAGACAACCTTTGGTTAAAGGAGAGCATATAGAAGTGGGTAGGTGGCGGCAAGAGTGAATTATATTTTGACCACATTCAATACACATTTCTTTGAAAAAGTCCAGTTTCATTGATTGAACACTCAAATAAATCTATGCTAATGATTCCGAATTCACTTTGCAGTAAAAACAATGTGTTCTCTTTCTCTCTCTATCAAATTGCACGGTCCATGGTTTATTTTTTTAAGCACGGTCGAGGTGCAATTCTGTTTTCATTGTGGAGTTAGGATTTAGGAAGGCTAGTGGAGCGCGAACGTGTTTTTGTAAAGGAAACAAAATAACGAACGGTCGAATCTAGCACGTACACACTTTGGCTTTTTAAATGTATTAATTCGGCATTTTTTTATTATTTCAGCCATTAATTGTTTATCAGACAGTAATGTTATTTAATAAATCACCTGTCCATTTGAAAATTATACAAAATCTCGATTCTATTAAAATTAAACTACGATCCCTTTTATTGGAAAAATGCTATTACTCCGTTAATGGCTTTTGCACTGGCGATTAATGTAAATACCTTATTTAAAAAATTAATGTAATATATATATTACGGATGAAGCTAAGAACAAGGAATTACATAGAAGGAGTGATAAAATTGTCAATTCATAGCAGGTTAGTGTACAGAAAATGTTATACGGCCGTATAACCCTACCAAATTCAGATACAACTTGCGTGCATACTTTTTACATAAACTGTGTTGAATATATAATCTAGTAATGTAAAACTTGTCGTTGACAAATAATTGACATATCAAACATTTTCTATACACTAGCCTGATATGAATTGAGAAAAATAGCAACTGAGGATGTATTTTTCGTCCTCTTTTTACTAATTATATTTGTATAAGAAGAAACGAGCCAACCATATGATTTATAGTTTTTATTTTATCATTCCTTCTATGTATTTCTTTGTTCTTAGGAATGAAATTAACATTGTTTATTGTAAAATATATTTATTGTTATTGTTATTCAATAGTTGTAATATTCAAGTTAATTTTTTTTTGTATGATTATATCTTATTAAAAAAAAAAACAATGTACATTGTTTTTTTTAATAAATGACTAATCACTAATGACTGTTGGACAAAAGCTTTCACCATAAAGGGAGTTTTGCCAGTAGTTGCCACGCTTGGCAGGCGGGTTGGCAACAATTAGGCTTTTAGAGATGTTTTAAGAGGAACGCTGCTGCGCATCCCTCGCCCTCTCTTAGTCGCCTTTTAACACCCACGAGAAAATGAGCGGTGGCCCATTCTATATCTGGGCACACACGGCAACTAAATTCTGCTAATATTTATTAATAAATGTGACAGTTTGTGAAGATGTTTGTATGTTTGTTAAACAATTACGTTACACAAGAATAAAGACAGGATAAATATACAACTAAAATTTACAATATTTTAATTTTTTTTTTATCGTAAACAGATAAACTAAAAAAAAAATTGCAACTTAGATCGACGATTTTCGAAAGAATAAATATTAGTTTTCTTAAGCAGACAAATAAAATTTGCTTCAGGAAAAAAATGCTAAATTAACCTTTCCTTTACCTAATTGTAGTACCCATTAGAGCCTTAATGGTCGTATAATCGTATAAAAAAGTATGAACGTGATAATTATGTAGACGATATTCATCATAGACTTTTCTAGAATTACAAATAGGGTACGCACTTACTTTTTTTACCAATTTAGTGCGTCCCTAGTACGAAAAAAAATAAATGACGCGTCTGAAATTCATCGTAAAAAATCGCCCACTTTTTTCAAGTATTAATGACACAATTCACATGTTTTATCATAGGTATGTTTTATTAATATCAAATTTCTTTATTTTCAGGTAAATTTACCTTAAAATGGATATAGTGGCGATAAAAATAATGTATTTAACAAAATGACAATGCACCAGTGAATCAAAATGGCGGACGCTTTTGGCGGGAAGGTCGCGTTCAGTGTTCTAATTTTGATTGTTTTCGTGGACAGTGCCATCAGCCAAGCGCCTTGGGTTGAGGAAAATGAGGACTTGGGTGAGTGTTTTTTATTTTATTCACGTTTTCCATTTATTCTCAATGGTTAATTTGCACTTTTTTAAATACATGTTTTTTTTATGTACTCTGTCTACGTTTTTATTATAAAAATATAAATTATTATTTATTTTAAACGTGTATAGGCGTTGCATTTTTAGTACAGTACATATTGAAACATGAATAATAATATAATACGGATAATTTTTTTTTTAACTGACAAAGACACCTTTTTGTAGGTTAAAAAGAAGAACAACCCATATCTCTATATACGTGTGGGACCAAGGGTGTTGCAAGTGAACCATACAGCGCCATCTAGTTTCATTCACTGTCATTCTTCCCTTTTGCTTCCATGCGTATACTTATATGGCCGCGCTTTCTTTTCACTCTTTTTGTATTTTGCTTATTTTAAATAATTAAAAAGTTTATCATTATATTATTTTTACTTTTATTCCATCAGGTTATGGGCCCAGCACGCTTCCACTGCGCTGGTTATGGGCCATCAGATTAAAGTAAAATATCAGTGTAAACAAGTTTAGTTTTCCGAATAGTGACCGCGTGTAAAAAAGCTAGGTTAGGTTGCCGGCCACATTTTTTATTTTTTCAGCTAATCCATCAGTTTCTGAAACAATGTCTATAAACACCGTGCCTTTTAGTAAACTGACCGGGAGAGATAATTATAATAGTTGGAAATTTGCAACAAAATCGTACTTGGAGCATGAAGAATTATGGTCGTGCGTGGACCCCGCCAACAAAGAAACCGTTGACCCTAAGAAGGATGTAAAGGCTAAAAGCAAGATTATTCTCCTTGTTGATCCAAGTAATTACCACCATATAGAGCAGGCACAAAGTGCACGAGAAGTGTGGGAAAACCTGCAGTCTGCGTTTGAAGACTCCGGACTTAACAGGAAAGTAGCCTTATTACGTGATCTCATTAATACGAATTTAGATAATTGTACCGATGTTGAAGATTATGTGAATAAAATTGTAACAACTTCCCACAAACTGAGAAATATTGGTTTTAAAGTTGATGATGAATGGTTAGGAACATTAATGTTAGCAGGATTGCCAGATCAGTATAAGCCAATGATAATGGGTCTGGAAAGCTCTCTTGTGAAAATTAGTGCAGATTTTATTAAAACAAAATTGTTACAAGAAGTTAAAAAGGAATCTGATTCTACTGCATTGTACACAAAGCATAGGAATTATCCTCAAAAGAAAGTTACTAATCATAATATTCAGAATAAATCACGAGGTCCCCGTTGCTACAATTGTAACAAATATGGACATATCAGTAAGAACTGTTTTTCTAATAAGAAACTAAATACAAAACTTAATAAAAATTATGCTGCAGTTTTTTCAGCTTACACTACAATGGATGATAGTGACTGGTATGTGGATTCAGGAGCATCGATGCATATGACGAGAAGATCTGATTGGTTGTATGACATTAAGACACCTCCGATACAAAGTATAAAGGTGGCTAATGACTCTTCCGTTATAGTACAGAAGATGGGAAATCTGGATCTCAACCTCTACTGCAATGATGGTAAAGTAAACCCAGTCCAGGTGAGAGACATTTTATTTATACCAGAATTAAGCACAAACTTGCTGTCGGTTAGTCAGTTGGTGAAAAATGGATGTCAAGTTAACTTCCATAGCACTAGCTGTAATATTTACAATAAAGATAAACAATTAGTAGCAACGGCAAGACTCACCAACAATATGTATAAACTAAATACTATTAAAGGAAATGCATATATTACTGCCAATAACAGTAGTGAAAGTTTAGATATTTGGCATCGTAGAATGGGACTGTAAGTCTACTGAAATGAGGTTTGTTGGTTACTGTCAAAATACAAAAGGCTATAGATTATTAGATATTAAAAAAGGAGTAATTATAAAAAGTAGAGATGTAATATTCATAGAAAAGAACCAAATAAATTTGAATCAAGTACCCACCAACACAAATCAGAATATTGAGACTGTTTCATTAAAGTTGGGAATAAGTACTCCCAGTACAGAGACAAAAGTACCAACTCCGAATGAATCCAGGATAGGAAGTGATACACCTACACAAGACACTGACAGTTTTTTGTCTGAGGTTTCATCAGTTTCAAATGACTTGACTTACAATCCTACTAGTACTGAGACAACTGATGATAGCACACTTGAGGATTGCTATACGAATGTCACACTCAGACCAAGGCGTCAATTAAATACACCGAAGTATGAAAAGGCAAATGAATATAATGATAATATATATTATGCATATTTGACTATATATAATGATCCAACAAGTTTAGAAGAAGCCTTATCATGCACAAACTCACAGCAATGGCAACAAGCCATGGATGAAGAATATAAGTCACTGTTGAAAAATAAAACCTGGATATTAACAAAACTGCCCCCTGGTAAGAAAGCAATACCGTGTAAATGGGTATACAAGACCAAAACAGATGGAAATGGAAACATAACTAAATACAAAGCACGATTAGTAATAAAAGGGTGTGCTCAAAAAAGAGGTATAGACTATGATGAAGTTTATTCACCTGTAATAAGGTACACATCACTGCGATACTTACTGGCGCTGGCTACGAAGTATGATATGGACATTGATCACATGGACGCAGTATCTGCATTTTTACAAGGAGATGTAGAAAAGGAGATATACATGCTACAGCCACCTATATATGAAAATGGCAATGACACAGAAGTATGTTTACTAAAAAAATCGTTATATGGACTTAAACAAGCTAGTCGCAACTGGAACAAAAAGCTAAATGCTACACTTAAAGAAATAGGTCTTTCTCGCTCCAATATTGATCCCTGTATCTACTATAAAATTGTTAATGAAGAAGATATAATGTTTCTGGCAATTTATGTAGATGATTTGATTTTATTCACTAATTGTAATTCTACAAAACAGTATATGAAAGAAAAGCTATGTGAAAAATTTAGCATGAAAAATATGGGAGAATTAAAATATTGTATCGGTTTTCATGTAACAAGAGACAGGAAAAATGGTATTATGTATATTGATCAAAGCACATACATTCAAGAAATACTGCAAAGATATGGCATGTCAGACTGTAAACCTGTTAAAACACCAATAGATCCACTTACAAAATTGCATTCCTCAGGCGAAGAAGATGCAATATTAGAAAACATTCCTTATCAAGAGATAATAGGATGTCTACTCTATTTATCTCAAGGCACAAGACCAGACATTAGTTATGTAATAAATTACCTAAGTAAATACAACAATAAACCAGAAGTGAAACATTGGAAAGCACTAAAACGCGTACTGAGATATCTGAAAGGAACTGTCAATTATGCATTGACATACAGGCGACGCGAAAATGAAGATATAGCTCTTGCCTACTGTGATGCTGATTGGGCTAGTTCAGAAGATGACAGACGCTCATGTACAGGCTATACTTTTATTTTTCAGGGAGGATCCATATGTTGGAACTCAAAGCGTCAGCCCACTGTCGCATTATCAACAACAGAGGCTGAATATATGTCCTTGTCGGCATGTACACAAGAAGCACTTTGGCTGAGACAATTGCAAGAACAGTTTTGGCCACATCTTGAAAATAAAACTTTAATTGTTTATTGTGATAATCAAAGTTGCATTAAACTTGCAGGTACTGATGGTTATAATTTCAGAACAAAACATATTGACGTCCGCCACCATTTTCTAAGGGACAAAATAAATGAAAAGAAGATTGAGGTGCAATATGTAAATACTGGCGAGATGGTTGCTGATATACTGACCAAAGCTACTCCCCTAGCTAAGCTAAAATACTGCTTCTGCAAGATGGGCTTATGTTCAAGGGAGGATGTTGCAAGTGAACCATACAGCGCCATCTAGTTTCATTCACTGTCATTCTTCCCTTTTGCTTCCATGCGTATACTTATATGGCCGCGCTTTCTTTTCACTCTTTTTGTATTTTGCTTATTTTAAATAATTAAAAAGTTTATCATTATATTATTTTTACTTTTATTCCATCAAAGGGTGTTCAAAATGAAAATTAGCTGCTCCGTATTACTATGTATTTAAAACTTTTCTTAAAATTATTCAAAAATATATCACCGTTAACCATCTATCTAGAACACCGTAGCAAGAATGAATCTGTTCCTTTCAATCTTTCAATCTTACTTACTCATGCACACTCGTTCATTATACGTTCCGTTACAACAAATATCGAATACATTAAAAATATTTCCTACATACGTATTTACGATTTTACCGTATCTAAGTACGAAAATTATCCAGTATCTATAATGTAAGACTAGATTATAACATAATTCAAATTAATTTACAATTAACGGTTATAAGGTAACAAATGTAAATAAAAAATACAACCGAATTTTGTATCTCCTTCTTTTTATAATCGGTTAAAAAGAACGTTCTATCAGCAAAATTGAGCATAATTCCCAAAGAAACATAGATAGAAAAACAATTAAAAATAAAATCAAGAAACATTGATAAAAAAAAAAAAGGTAAAAAAATATCTCATACTAACATGACAGATGAAAGCGCAGTGTATCAGAAGCTCACATTTACCACATTACCACATTGCCCATGATACCCCCCATGCGTTGCCATTCCTGAGGACTCGGGTGTTATTCCTCTGTACCCTGTAAATTCACGCCATATCCCACCCTTCAAACCGAAACACAGTCATGCAAACACAACTGCTTCACAGTACAAACACGAATGGGACAGAGGTACCCAAGCAATCGACTTTGGTACAAAGTCTCCCTCTGGTGACTGTGCTTCGGCTCGCTGAAAGCGAGCTGTAGATGTGATTGTATCCGCATAGTCATTACGTTAAATTACAATGTGTACTTACAAAACTTTTAACAATAAAACATTTCAAATATGGCGGCTATGAAATTTGAATACCTACGTACAGTTCAAAGATTATTTTCATACTTTGATTGTGTTCCTTGGGGACTTTCATGAATGCTATCCGAGGGTTTGGCAAACAATT